ATTTACAAAATATCTTCATGGAACATGATCTTTACTTAATATCCTAATGATTTTTGGTATAAAAGAAAAATCTATAATTTTGAGCCATACAATGTATTGTTGGCTATTGCTACAAATATCCCCCAGCGACTTAACACTGCTTTTGTGCTCCAGGCTCACAGATGAGGTTTTAGAACGTTTTTGTTCATAGGGCTTAAGTTTGTTTGCATTATAAATGTATTTCTTTGACAGTTAAGCAATTTTCACATTACTGTAACGCATTAATTTACAATTATTTATTTGTTAGTATTTATTTACTATAGAAGTCCATTTCTACCACGGAATAAAATAAATAAAATTTTTAGTGCTGTCAAATGATTAATCGTGATTAAAGATTAAAGTTTTTGTTTACATAATATATGTGTGTATACTGTGTATATATAAAGACACACATACAGCATATATTTTGAAAATATTTACATGTATTTACGTGTATATATTTAAATTCATATAAATTATATCATATATAAATATATTAAATATATAAACTTAACATATTTTTCTTAAATATATCCATGCATGTGTGTGTGTATTTATATGTACAAATATACACAGTACACACACATATGTAAACAAAAACGTTTATTTTGGGTGCGATTAATCGCGATTAATCGTTTGACGGCACTAACAAATTTGAGCATTTTTATCTCACAATTCTGACTTGTTTATTGCAGTTACAAGTTTATGTCTTTCAGTTCTGACTTTTTGTTAACACCATGGAATAAAAAAATAAAAATGGTAAAGTTGTGACTTTTTATCTTACAATTCAGACTTTTTTTCCTTTGCAATTATGAGTTCATATCTTGGACTTTATATTGTAAGCACGCAATTTGCAGTTGTGACTTTTTTTTACAAAATTGTGAATTTATAATGCAATTCTGCTTTAGTTGCAAGAGTTTATATCTTGCATTTTAGACTTTATTTCTCAGAATTACTTGTTATAAATGTAGAATTGTGAGTTTATAACTCAATTCTGCATTTATATCTCTTATTTCTGAGATTACGTCTCACATTTTGAACTTTTTTTCTCAGAATTGCAAGGAAAACGTTTTAATTGTGACATTAAAAAGTCTATTACCTTTTCCATTTTTTTATTCCCGTGGTGGAAATGGGATTCTATTGTTTGCTGCTTTAATGCTGATTTCAATTAAAACAACAAAACGTTGTATTACAGAAATGTGAGACTAATGAAAAACATTAGACATCACAGGTTTGTTGCATTGCATTGAGTTTGGGTGAAGTGGGACATAGAAAAGATAACCTATGAGTTGTTTTGTTCATTTGGTTGCGATTTGAGTAATATCAATCTTGATTTTATCGCTTTGGGATTCACTTTTGGTTTTATCACTATGACCAAAAGTAGTGTTTTGAATTATAGTGTCACTGTTAATCAATGAAACGGTACTGACAAGTTAGCCTTAAAAGCCTTAATGCTTAGTTTGTGGTTAATGAATCAGCCGAGTGAAGCTTAGAAACCTTTGTGAGTCATTTGTTTCGAATCAATAGTTCGGAGCGCGTATTAAACCGCCAAAGTCACGTGATTTCAGTAAACGAGGCTTCGTAACGTCACAACTGTTTCAAAATGTATCATGTTTCAAAACATCAGTGGTTCGTATTCCTCAATGGTATTTAATGATTTGCTAATTGCATTTAAACTAATAACTTAAATAAAATGCTTACAATGGGTTTGTATGCATGTTATTTCTTTGGACTGAGTTTTTGTTGTAGTTACACAGTTTTGACCAGCAGGCGTCGCCAGCGTGTGGCGTTTCGAATGCTTCGAAACAGCGAATCCTGTTTGTTCAATTTATTCAAAGATTCGAAAAGGTACGTTTCTGACCTTCGCATAGGTTAAATCCTGCTTAGCTTCATGCACGCTATGCGATTGAATTTATTTTTTACATTTGTTGCTCTTAGCAATAAATAAATGACCGCTAAAAATGCTGGTAGTTTTTAAGGTGTTACGAATCACAATGACGCTGTTGTGTTCACACACATACAGTGATGTTCAGTGGGGTCACACTGTAAATCTGTTATTCAAAATGTAATTTAAACAATAAAATAAACTAACTTTGGATTTTGAAAAGTTTAAAAAAACAATTAATTAAAAAATGCTTCGGAAATGTTTAAGAATCTGCATTATTTGTATGATAATCAAATACAGATTTTTATCTGAACATTTAAAAATTATGTGCTGTATAAATACAGCATGGATATAATTGGCGTATTGGCACAGTGCTTAACCAGAAAAATTAAAAATGGCTTGCCGACCCCTGCTTATAGCGTGTAAAGAACTAAAATCGCATGTTGAGAAACTTGCCTTCACCTTATATGGAACATTAACAGAGTTATACAGACAGACTTGATGCAATGCTTTCAGGAAAAGTGGTTTCAACACCTACTTTTTGGAAATGTTGTGCAAGTGATTCACAATATGCTTTTGTTAATTGCAACAATTGTGTGACTGGGATCCAAAATGAATGGTTGTTTTTAGGCGTAATTGCAGCTTAAATCAGGTCAAGCAGGTCGTTTTGTTTTGAAGCGTTTGCTGAATTTCCAGGGTTTCTGCAGGTCTTACTTTTTCCACAAATTAGGGCCTTAAAAGCTTTTAAATCATAGCAGAAAGTCTTAAATTCATGACGTCAATAAAGGCAACAAATGTTGGATTCACTGTAAAAAAAAAATTTCTCTTGCTTTTCAATATAAATATTTAAACGTCCTTAAATCAAGATGCATTTACTTAAGTTGCAAAATGAAGATAAGATTAATCTGGTTTTCTGAGCAAAATGAAGTGACTTTATGCTTAAAACATTTCTGTCATTTGTGAAGGACAACCTGTTTTCCCTTTGAATTAAGATTTTTCGGACTCAATTGACTGATGTTTGTTCTTGTTTTAATCAACTCATCAACTCACTTAATTTTAATAAAATTGTGTCCCTGCAGCACAAAAGCAGTCATAAGTCGCTGGGGTATATTTGTAGCAATAGCGAACAATACATTGTATGGGTCAAAATTATACATTTTTCTTTTATGCCAAAAATCATTAGGATATTAAGTAAAGATCATGTTCCAAGAAGATATTTTGTAAATCTCCTACCGTAAATATATCAAAACTTAATTTTTGATTAGTAATACGCATAGCAAAGAACTTCCTTTGGACAACTTTAAAGATGATTTTCTCAATATTTAGATTTTTTTGCACCCTCAGATTCCAGATTTTCAATTATCGTCCTATCCTAACAAACCATACATCAATGGAAAGCTTATTTATTCAGCTTTCAGATGATGCATAAATCTCAATTTCAGAAAAATTGACCCTTATGGCTGTTTTTGTGCTCCAGGGTCACGTTTCTCAGAAGACAAGACTTCTAATCTAAAATACTAAAAAATATCTTAAAAAAAAAACAACCAAAATACATCACTTTTCTGCAGTGTGCATCAAAATTATTTCCATATCTAGTATTCGAGAAGCTGGTTTTTGTTAAATTAATTACAAAGTAATGGAGGTCTATTGAAAGTTGTGTTTTCAAACTGAAGTGTTGCGAACTTATGAGACTGATGCATTGCTTTCCTTTCAATTTATTCATGAGATCTCTTTACTTGGTCTTCAAAAGGACCTCCATGAACCGTGATTTACTGACTCCCGTGTGTTTGGTCCTCCAGGAGCACCTCATGAAGATCGTCCCCAATCCGCCGGCGGTGGTTCGAGCGCTTCAGAAGGCCCCTGTCCTCGAGGATGTGAGGGCCTTTCTGGAGCTCGCACATAAACAGGTGGATGCAGTGCAAGCAGCTCATAGAGACACAGCCCTGGACTGACTAAACTTTACACGCAGACGACGGCTGATAAACAAAATAACTGCTTGTTTATTTGAAAATGACAAGTTTGCATTGAGAACTAGACACAGAAATGACATTCCTTTCATGCATTAATGCTGCAATATCAAGCGCTGGAATTCAGTTTGCACTTTCAGTTTGAAAACTTTCTATGTAAGGTACATTACTACTGCATAATAGTAGTTATGCTAAATTTAAGCCTTAAATTACCAGAAAGCCTTTAATTTGCTCTTAAGTTCCTAAAATGCAAGTGCTACAATGCAACGCAATTAAATCCTAGATTAAAACAATCATATCAGTTACAGAATGGCTCTTATTTTAAATGTTTTGGTAATAATCTGGGTGAAAACTTTCTATGTACACTTTCAGGAAAAAAAGGTACAAAAGCTGTGACTGGGGGGGCGGCACCTCTTCAGAAGATACACATTTGTACCTAAAAAGTCCATATTGGTACCAAATTAGTACCTAAAGTGTACATATTAGTATCTAAGGATGCGTTCACACTTGTAAAAAACAACCAAACATGACAAGTGTGAACACACAAAAGGTGTTCAATACAAAGTGAACCTTTTGAAAGTGCACCGCCACAGTGACAGCTTTTGTACCTTTTTTTTTTTCCTGAGAGTCTAGGGCACATTTCTTTTGCATAATATAAGAACATTCTTTATGCTTAATTTAAGCCTGAAATGACCAGCCTTTAGTCACAGGAAGGAAAGCCTTGCATTTGCTGTTAAGTTCCTTAAATACAATGCATCACAATTAAATCCAAGAGATTGTTTTGGTAATAATCTGGGTGAAAACTTTCTATGTACACTCAGGAAAAAAAGGTACAAAAGCTGTGACTGGGGGGGCGGTACCTCTTCAGAAGGTACACATTTGTACCTAAAAAGTCAATATTGTTACCAAATTAGTACCTAAAGTGTACATAATAGTATCTAAAAGGTACAAAAGTGCACCGCCACAGTGACCGCTTTTGTACCTTTTTTTTTTCCTGAGCGTGTAGGGCACATTTCTTTTGCATAATATAAGAGAAAATTCTTTATGCTTAATTTAAGCCTGAAATGACCCGCCTTTAGTTACAGAAAGGAAAGCCTTGCATTAGGGGTTAAGTTAAGTTCCTTGAATGCAATGCATCACAATTAAATCCAAGATTAAAACTTGAAGCCTCAGTCGATCGCTCGAGATGCTGTGCGTGTTTTCTGCTTGTAGTCAGTGTTCTTCATTTGTCTGGAATCTCGATCTCGGATCCTAAAACTCAGAGTCTCTTCTTCGCAACGACTTTCTTCGCAAAGACTCCGACAGCTCCTCGTTGAAGACGCGCTCGATCGTCGAGACCAGCGAGGCGCGAACCGTGCGGCCGAGTCCGCGAGCCGCGAACACATACAAGACGGGGTTGAGCGCGCTTTTTATGTAAACCAGAAACAGCGCCACGTACGCCGCGCCAATCGCTCCTTCTTTGACCTTCTTCCAGTCGGGCCGATCGTGAGAAAAGGCCCTCAGAAAGCGGCAGGTGAAGTACGGCACCCAGCAGGTGAGGAAGAGGAGCATGGTGAGGAAGAGTACGCGATAGAGACGGGTCAGACGGTGGGTTGTGTAACCCGGTCCGGATGGCGAGGTTGGGGAAGACATTGTGCTCTCGGCTTTCTTTGCGCAAAATATCACGGCGATATTGCACGACAAGAAGATCACCAAAGGTAGCAAGAATCCCGCCACGGTCTCCAACACATTTAAGGCTTGCCCTACTCCCAAATCGCTTTCAATGCAAGCCTCACGGTTTGCCCAGAGAATGACTTTGGCTGTTTCGATGTATGGAGCGGCGAAAACAGCCGCCAACACCCATATTGCGGCGCAAGCCAGTGGCACGACCCAACGAGGGCGTCTCAATCGAGCCCAAACTGGTCTGAGGAGACACAAGCAGCGCTCCACCGCGACGGCGCACAGCAAGAACGCGCTCGCGTACAATCCCAGGCATCGCAAATAAATCACCAGCTTGCACACAGGCTCCCCCAACGTCCAAGTGAAGTGGTTCGCTAAGTAGGGTAGCATCAGCGGCGTCCGCAACAGCAGCACCAAATCCGCCAGCGCCAGGTTCACCACGTAGATCCGGAAGTTGTCGGCGCTCTGCGTTTTGCAGGTCACTCCTCTGTTGCGGCACCAAACTCGAACCCCCAGCGCCCAGACCACCAGAGCGTTTAGAGAGACGCCTACGATGAAGATCATCATGGTCACCGCCATCTGCAGCACGCGCATGCCCTCGCTGGGGTACACGGTGGAGTTGGTGTGGTTGGAGGTGTCCGGAGCTGGGGTAGACATTGGGTCTCTGTGGAAATACAGGGGAAAATTCACATCAGTGTTCATTTAGACAGCACATTTTAGTTTTAGTTTTAAGCCCTATTCGGACCGCAATTGTGACCCTGGAGCACAAAACCAGCCATAAGGGTCAATTTTTTTAAATTGAGATGTATACATCATCTGAAAGCTGAATAAATAATCTTTCCATTGATGTATGGTTTGTTAGGATAGGACAATATTTGAAAATCTGGACTCTGAGGGTGCAAAAAAATCTAAATATTGAGAAAATCGCCTTTAAAGTTGTCCAAATGAAGTTCTTAGCAATGCATATTACTAATCAAAAATTAAGTTTTGATATATTTACGGTAGGAAATTTACAAAATATCATTACTTAATATCCTAATGATTTTTGGCATAAAAGAAAAATGTATAATTTTGACCCATACAATGTATTATTGGCTATTGCTACAAATATACCCCGGCGACTTAAGACTGCTTTTGTGCTCCAGGGTCACAGTTGTTTATCATATGGATGTCTGTAGAAATACATTTACATATCACCTCTAAACTCATGGATTCGGATGGCGATTTATTCACAATGGAGAAGCGAGTTCTGTGTTCCTACGAACCCGGGAACTTATTTAAATCTTCTGTTTAAAAATAGACGCACTATAATTGTATATAATTATACGTGGCATAGTTTATATATACAGTGGGTACGGAAAGTATTCTTAATGGCATCTTTTTTTTATGACTGAAGGCCAGTATCAATGATACCAATAATACTGATGTCTCTATAAAATTGCCCCCCCCCATATTTGTAAATGTCATATTTACCCGTGTCCTTCAGCAGAAATATACAGAAATTGAAATTGAAGTTATCAAAAACTAAATTCTAAATTAAATATGGATGAATCCTTAAAGCTATAAAAGTTATTTTTTCCTCTTTTTTTTTTCTTTGTCCTTTGATGAACAGACATCACAGCAGCTGGTTATTAGGTTGTTTTGGCTGCTATTACTTTAAGAGCTGCTGCTGAACGTGACGCGGATCTAACACGCATCGTATTTTCTCTCAACTCTTTTTACCTTTTCTGACCCACTTCAGGTCTTAAAGTCTCTATTAATGAGCTGACGAGTTCAGTCGGGTGTGTTAGATGAGAGAGACCGTTCTTAAATGTGACTCATATAAAATATATTACATGCATGCTCAGTTTTAAGGCAGCTTTAGTCGCCTTTTTGTAACTTCATGACTTAACTGACCATGACACCGCATGCACGTCGTTTATTTCGCAATTTGATATGAAATGATAAAGGCTACAGCGTGCGCCGCTGCCTTTGTGCGTGCAATTGAAGAGTACACGCTTTGAGCACAGTACCGTTTTTAAATGTACTTTTGTCAAGAGAAAAAGTGACAGAAGCAGTAGTTGTGAGTGGAGTGGCCAACCCTAGCTCCGCCCCTGCGTTAATTGCATTAAATATTTTTAACACGTTAAACTGAAAAAATTAATCGCCTGCATTATTTTGACACCACTAATATATATCTTGGAGAAAACTTCTATTAACCTGGTAATATGAATGATATTAAGATTTGAACATGCAATATTGATACAACTCCTGTGTCTTTATCTCAAAATTAAATAAAACCACTTCTCATAAAGAAACAAGAACATGGTCCTCTTTCCAATGAAATATCAATGGTTATATAATATGCATTCTTTACAACAACTTTCATACAGCATCCTTCATTCTTCAATCCTTATTAGGGCTACTAAAGTGCTGTGAGTGATTTTCTCTCTTTGTTTTGTTGATTCATTAACAATAGGGACACAGACAACAGTAACTAAATGAGGCTGCTGCCCCTTTAAATCTATAACTACTGTATATTAAAACTATCAATATACTGGCGATATTCTCCCAACAGTTTATATTCATTTAAGACGTAACCATGAATACTCGTCAAATCTGTCAGTAGATTTTCTGAATTATTATTTTTTTCATTCTAAGAGTTTTTATTTTGTGATCGTCTGTGAAAAAAAATGTTGTTGACGAAAATTATGATGCATATTTTTTTTGTCAGCGAAACGTGTGCAGTCTGCTGGAAAACACGCGGTGCATGTTCATGGAAAGCATTTCGTTATGCTTGAGAAACACATCTATATGTTCTCTGGCGATAAAATAAAGGAAGTTGCATGCAGTTTCCTCTTTTCAGAAACATTATGAAATGCTTTTTCAATGAAATCAAGTATGGCCTTGTCACAATACTTTCTGCATTATTTAAACTAGGTGCTATATGAATAAAAACACACTTTAGGTCACCAGATGTCATTTAGGACATGCATGCATTTCTGCTGGAAGGCGAAGACTCAACTTGCATGTTCTGCAAGACTTTCCATTAAACATGCTTTATTAGACTCTCCTGGTTTTAATGCAACTAGGCAACATTTTTATTCAATATAAGGTCCAATTCTCGCTATTAACAGACTTTTGCTTCACTAAACTAATTTGCTGCTTATTAATAATAAGGTAGTTGTTAAGTTTAGGTATTTAGGATGTAGAATAAATGCTTTATAAGTACTAATAAACAAGCAATATGATAATAACAGGCATGCTAATAAGCAACTGAGAATTGGTCCTTATACTAAAGTGTTACCTTTTTTAATAGTTTATATTTTTATAGTTACTGTATATATATTTCGTAACTCGTTTCTTGCCATGAAAGTAGCCTCAGTTGCTGACATGGCATTAAAAACTACACTACTGCTACTAAAATACACTGTAAGGGAGCACAAACATTGTGCGGTTGCATAAACACAACCACAATCTTAAAGGGACAGTTCACCTAAAAATGAAAGTTCTGTCATTTACTCACACTTACATCGTTCCAATCCTGTACGAGTTTTTTCCTTCTGCTCAACACAAAAGTAATTGTTCAACAGAAGAAAGAATCTCATGTAGGTTTGGGAACGATACAAGTGTGAGTAAATGATGACAGAACTTTAATTTTTGGGTG